CTGTTAATAATACATTACTTCAGATTCGGGCGCCATGGGCAGTTACGCTGCGTTCTATCTTCTAGGATTATATCCACTACCGGCAACTCGACAGTTCCTTCTTTCATCTCCTTATTTCCCTTCGATTTCGTTTTTCAATCCCGCTTTCAATAGCACTACTACGATCATATCGAACGGATTTGCCGGCAATCCCGAAGACGGAACAGGAGGGCACGTCTTCGTATCAGTAAGTCCGTACTTTGTAGCCAACTTTTACGAAATCAACCCTTCAACAGAATGTCACCGTTAACGGGGAGCCCTACAAGTCGAACTGTTTCTTGGACTGGGATGTTTTCACAAATGGTTCGACAGTCGAACTAACGCTATCGGAAGATATTAACCTTACTTGTGGCAACGGTCCTGATGCACTTCCTCCTTCCTTGTCTACGGGAGGATATGATTGACGAATTTAAGTCTGAACATGATAATTGTACATATGAATACACGAATTCGATCGTATAAAAAACTCTTCATTCCTATGTCTCAAGCTTGCACACCCGGGGTGTCTGCGATACGGTAAACGAGTTTCTCACCACTAACCTACAAAACGATGGTTGGTTTGTATTAGAGCAACATTCCAACGGGCCGTCGTAGCATACCTTGCCAGATTTCATGTATTCCAACCCTTCCGGGACAGAGGCAAGCCCTCTTGGATAGATCTTGAGTGGCGTGGGGGTAAGTTTGCCATCCGCAAGGAGCTTCGAGATTAGTTTGCTAGATTTAATCGCAAATTCCTTCATCTCTGTGGAAGGTTTGTAGTCCCCAAAAGGCTAGGTATATCATTCAGTGACTGTCAGGATACAGTTCAACTTGAAACCAACCTTTCCAAGAAGATGGGATCCAAAAGAAACTACCACCTTGACTTCGGGCCGTACAGTTTCATACCTTACAATAGCTGAAACTGTGCCCCCTTCTGGTGCGAGAGAATCCGATACAAGCTGAGGAGTCGACCCTTCACTGATGCAGTCGACAGCGTGCTGGAGCTTCCCATTGGTATAGGCCCGGATCTTCTGGGCTACTTCAGGGTCACGATAATCAAATGTTTCGTCTGCACCCAAAGATTTCAGCCTATCGAAATGCTTGGGGGAAGCCGTTGCGATAACTCGCATACCCCCCAATTTGGCCAGTTGAATAACGAAGTGACCGACGGATGTAGATCCACCCCAGACTAGAAGATCAATGGGCACAGTAGTTGGATTCTCGGGAGATGGCAAGTTCTGTGACTGATAAAGGCATTGGCAAGTAGTGTAACAAGCTCCCCCCAGTTGGGATGCATCTTCGAAGGACCAGGGTTCTGGAATCTTGAGGAATATGTGAGACGGGGCGACAGTGTATTCCGCGAAGGCACCATTCATCTCCAAGCCTGGGAAAGAGTTCGAATGAATACTGTATGTGGACCAGAAGAGAAAGTGTGAAACATGCAGCCAAACACAATACCGGCGATGCGGTCTCCAGTTTTAACGTCTTGCGTGACGCTTTCACCGATTCGTGTGACGATCCCAGCATAATCGAATCCGACTATTGTCACCTCTGTCTGCTGTTCCGAACGTTTCCCTGGTGAAAATTTAATTAGTAGTTTTTTCATATACTTAAACCTAGTAGAACATGCTTACAGTCCACCGGATTTTGAGCGGCTGCGACGACTTTGACTAAAATATCGGTTGGATCAAGTTTCGGGACCTCAACTTGACGAAGTTCGACCGTGCTGTCTGCTTTTCCGGTTGTACAGATAGCAAGCATTTTCAGTCTGTAGGTCCGATAGTCGCTGGAATTGGGGAAGATCGGTGGGAATAGACTGGGGTCGATTCAGATGCTCGTATTTAAAGAAGAACTGATGAATCAATAGGATTAGCAAGACGCATATATTGCTCTATGTAAGTCTGATTACTCTTGTGCTTGCTTGAACGGTCCGGTTCTTCAAAAATGGCCAAGACCGTCGGTCAAAGCCAGGGAAAGAAACAGTCAGCATCATTCAAGCTTACCGACTCTTTGGAAAAAGTCTGTTATGTTTACTTAGTAGCTGAGAACTTGCAGGCTTTTAGTTCCTTTACGCCGTCGGTCGAATTTGACATATCTTGGAGTCTCCTTGCAAATGGTAAATTTCAAGCGAACTTCCTCCTGCTGGACTCTGAGCTGTTGCCTTTGACCTGGCAAGAACAGTGCCAAGTTGCCTCTGCAACAGAGCAGGAAAATGGTATATAGGCAGAGTATCAAGAAACGACCCAATAAGCCAGTGATATGAAGGGTAAATGTAGCTGCGCCACAGACTAATTTATGGACCCAAGCTAGCTCATCATAGCACTTAACACAACACTCATCATCAGTAAGCGGACCATGGCCGATAGAAGTAAAACTGGGCATTTTCGTCATTTATATACATCTCAAATATCTAACGTCTACATATCGTAGGTGAGCGTCGAGGTCACAAATGCTGAGAGTGGAATATAGGGCCGATTGACTGGCATCGATGTTGTCGTTTTATTACGAGGCCGAATTTATGAGGTCTCGTCTTTACTCAACCCCATCGCTTAGCATGCCTTGCCCGATCTCCATTTGGTAAATCGTAATCTTATCAATATTTCGGTTTGTCAAGTAGCATCGTGGAAAGTCGTGATTTGATTGATGGGCTTGCCCGGCTTTTTGGCTTGTTGTCAAGCTGCAAGCGAGGCAAGCCCGTTATTTAATATGATTTGCTAGTAAAAAATGAATGCCGCTTCAAGATAAATATAACTTGTGTGAAAAACCTACCAGGCTGGTCTGCTTGTCGCTTGACCAGCTTGTACAAGCCGAAAAAAGCCGGTCAAGTTGGGGTCAATCAAAACGGTCAATCAAAACTTAGATAATCACGATGTAAGCTCGGATGAATCTCTGAACTGCCGCTAATGCCGATTTGACAATAAATAGACGGCATTGACTCATAATATTCTCGGCCTCGTACATGCCGCGCGAAGCGACGGCCTTCTTCCTTTATGTTTCTATGCAACTCCGATGCCAAGTATAGTTGTGTGGTGACCACGAACCCACGGCAATGATAGCGAGCATACTGATCCTCATGACAGGTTTCCGTCGATATGTTGAAACTCGAGATTGACGATGATGCGGTTTTCTGTTGCGGGTAGTGCAGGCAGCGTAAAATGTCTGTACAATAACCAGGCTGAGTGACAAATAGTATAAGGGTATGTCTTGGACTGGATGCTTTCACAAACAGCTCGATCGAATTAACGTTAACTTAGACTATCTATCTCCATACGTGACACTCCTCCGTCAACAAGAAGATACGAGTGATAAACTGAAGTATGGATATAGTTACTGTACACATATGACTACACCAATTGGATTTCCATATCAAAGTTTCTTTATTCTCAAGCCTGTACACCAGGGGTGTCTGCGACGCGATAAACAAGTTTCTCGCCGCTCACCTATAGAATAATGATGCAATTAGACTGAGGTGACATCGCACCTGAGTGTCTTAACATACCTTGCCGGATTTCATGTATTCCAGACCCTCTGGGATAGAGGCGAGCCCTTTTGGATAGATCTTGAGCGGCGCAGGGGTAAGTTTGCCATCCGCAAGGAGCTTCGAGATCAATTTGCTGGATTTAGTGGCGAATTCATTCATTTCCGTGGAAGGCGTGAAGTCTCCAAAAGGCTGAATACCATTCAGCAATTCTTCGATATACGATGTTCATCTTAAAAACCAACCTTTCCGAAAAGAGTGTATGCGATAGAAAATACTACCTTGACCTCAGGCCGTACAGTCTCATACTTCAAAATAGCTGAAACTGTGCCTCCCTCAGATGCGAGAGAGTCCGATACAAGCTGAGGAGTCGACCCTTCACTGATGCAGTCGACAGCGTGCTGGAGCTTCCCATTGGTATAGGCCCGGATCTTCTGGGCTACTTCAGGGTCACGATAATCAAATGTTTCGTCTGCGCCCAAAGCCTTCAGCCTATCGAAATGCTTGGGAGAAGCCGTTGTGATAACGCGCATGCCTCCCAGTTTGGCCAGTTGGATGACGAAGTGACCGACGGATGAAGATCCGCCCCAGACTAGCAGATCAATAGGGGTGGTGGTTGGATTCTCAGGAGATGGCAAATTCTGGGACTGATAGAGGCATTGACAAGTAGTGTAACAAGCCACCCCCAGCTGAGACGCATCTTCGAAGGACCAGAATTCCGGAATTTTGAAGAACATATGAGATGGAACAGCAGCGTATTCTGCGAAGGCACCATTCATCTCCAAGCCTAAGAAAGGACTTGAATGAAATTGTATGTGGAAGCTGAAAAGGGTGAAACGTACAACCAAATACCATACCAGCGATTCGATCTCCAACCTTAACATCTTCTGTGACGTTTCCCCCGATTTGTGAGACAATCCCAGCGTAGTCGCATCCGACTATTTTGACATCTGTCTGCCGTCCCGATGATTTCCCTGTAAAGGTTGATTAGTGGTCTTCTTATATAGCTTCAGAGCTTACTGACAGTCTGTAGGATTTTGCGCGGCCGCGACGACTTTGACTAGAATGTCTGTCGAATTGATTTTTGGAATGTCGACTTGACGAAGTTCGACAGTGCCATCTGCTTTTCCAGTAGTACAAATAGCAAACATTGTTAAGTCTTTTAAGTCCGGGAGTTACAGAGTTCGAGGTGGGGGGATTCGACAGAATTAGTGGGAATTGACGAGATGGTATTTAAGGAGATGCATTGATAAGCATCGGATTAGCAAGCATAGTATTAGCAAGCTTGCCTGCGCCGGTCCGGTACACACTGTTCGTGATTTTCTTCCCTAATCTGTACAGACATTAAAGTACAGGAAGGGAATATGCTCTATGAAAGTACGTATTGTCAATCAGCAAGCTCAGCGGGTTTCTCTCAGAGTCACACTCTCACTTTGATCTGCAGCTGTTGATTAATTTGGGTTGTTGACCAACATCGGGGTGTGGGTCAAGTGATCTTGTGACTTGGACCAGCTGGGGATTGAACCCAGGACCTCGGCAATGCCAGTGACTCTGCTCTAACCAACTGAGCTATTGGTCCATTGGATATCAATCAGGTGGTGGTTTTCTGGCAACAAGTAGAGGATATGCCTATACTAGTAATTGTTCATCAGGGCTGTCCATCAGAATTATCTTTTGTAATGAATTCTTTGAGTCCTGAGGGGGCTGAGTCTTGAATATCATTGTGTATAAAGACTAGAAGTCATAGTAATAATTTCCTCCATTGCATTTCAGATATGCTTGAAAGTCTTGAAGTTGTATGGATGCTAAGAACATGTAGCCTTTGGATTCTTTCAACCATTAGTTGGAATCATCAAACTGGCCAAGCACTAACAATGTAACCCCCCATATATAGGCTCAATGTTCCAAAATCAATTGAAAAACTGGTATTTGATCTGATGGATTCCAGATATCTGTAAATAGTGATGCTTCAAAAATCAAGATGGGTAAAGTGTAAAGGTTTGCCTACATGTATACATATACATTGTCAGTCTGGTTCATGAGACTAAGGTTTACCCTGCTTATTTTTATTTCTAAGATACAAAATAATAATATAAGTCCATTTTGGCAATCCAACTTGCAAATATTGATTTGAGTTATAATCAAATTGGTTATTACTTTCTATCATAAATTTCAGCTATACTACTATTCTTATTCATTAACAATTTTTTGTGACTTGGCTAGTAGGACTATACATCAATGTGTCTTTCTTATCTATTTATACAGCAGTGTCTGAGAACGACCATAAAGCTTTTTGTATGTTCTAAAGCATGCTGAGACTCCATTCTCTTGCTCATGCTTCATTTGCACTGAATAATGACAGTATGACACATTCTATATGGGTGTGATATAAATGTGGAAAGATCAATTGAGAGACAAAAGATACAAAACTTGTTGTAAGTTGTGATTGCATCATATCGTCTTGTGCATGGTAGAAACCCATAACTTGATTGATCGGCTTTTTTGTTTGTTGCCAAGCTAAGGCCATGATATAATGAGCTGCTAATAACAAATGATTGCTGTTTGAGGACGAAATACAACTTCAATAACTCAAACTTTATTGGCATGGATTGAAAACAGAAAAAAATTAGCATTTGCTTCATACAGATTCAGCATTTTTATATAAATCCTCCATATATTATTTTATTGCAGTGAGCCTCATTTAGAGAAGTAACTTAAGTGTTTAGTGTATCACTCAAAAAACTATAGTAGGCTTGGGTTTCAGGTTTGAAGAAATGTTTGAGCTCCATTTAGTGAAGATCCCTCGGATGACAAAATTATGTATATACATCCCTAAGAATTCCATTTTACCTTCAGATTCCTAAAGTGGGCAATCTAAATGATAGAAAATACTGTGTAGAAGTCTATAACATTCACAACAATGGGAAAAAGACCATTGGAAATAAATATGAATTGAAAACATGTATGTATTTCCAGTTATTTTATAAGAAAGTTACAGAAACATCTACTCACCATATATTGACTGTAAATCCCTTTTACACCATAATTTCACTGCATCTTATGCCATTTTTTTCTGTATATCTACTAAAAATATAGACATGTTTCCAATTCATATCTTTGCTGTATTCCCAAAGAATTACAGGTTTTTGCACCCAGTGCAAAGGGCTCTTGACCAGCATCAGAGTTGCTCATTTGTAATGCCAATCTTACTTGTGGTAACAGCCTTGGTGCACTCTCCTTTTTTGGGCCACAGGTTGATGAACTAAAGATTGTATGTACACTTATAAGTACACCTCATATTGGATGCTCCTCATTGTTACTTTTAAATTCTCATGCCTGTATACCAGGGGTATCTGCCACGCGATAAACGAGTTTCTCACCACTGACCTACAGAAAGGCGGTTGCGTTACATTAGAGCAACATTCCAACGGGTCGTCTTAACATACCTTGCCGGATTTCATGTATTCCAGACCCTCTGAGATGGAGGCGAGCCCTTTTGGATAGATCTTGAGCGGCGCAGGGGTAAGTTTGCCATCCGCAAGGAGCTTCGAGATCAGTTTGCTGGATTTAGTGGCGAATTCATTCATTTCCGTGGAAGGCGTGAAATCTCCAAAAGGCTGAATACCATTCAGCAATTCTTCGAAACACTATTCATTTTAAAAAACTCACCTTTCCAAAAAGAGTGTATCCAACAGAAAATACTACCTTGACCTCAGGCCGTACAGTCTCATACTTCAAAATAGCTGAAACTGTGCCTCCCTCAGATGCGACGGAGTCTGATACAAGCTGAGGAGTCGACCCTTCACTGATGCAGTCGACAGCGTGCTGGAGCTTCCCATTGGTATAGGCCCGGATCTTCTGGGCTACTTCAGGATCACGGTAATCAAATGTTTCGTCTACACCCAAAGCCTTCAGCCTATCGAAATGCTTGGGAGAAGCCGTTGTGATAACGCGCATGCCTCCCAGTTTGGCCAGTTGGATGACGAAGTGACCGACGGATGAAGATCCGCCCCAGACTAGCAGATCAATAGGGGTGGTGGTTGGATTCTCAGGAGATGGCAAATTCTGGGACTGATAGAGGCATTGACAAGCAGTGTAACACGCTATCCCAAGCTGAGATGCATCTTCAAAGGACCAGGATTCCGGAATCTTAAAAAAGATGTGGGATGGGACAGCGACGTATTCTGCGAAGGCGCCATTCATCTCTACGCCTGTAAAAGAATGGACATTGTATGTAGAATTGAAGGAACAGGGTCCAACGTACAGCCAAATACCATGCCGGCAATTCGGTCTCTGATTTTAACATCTTCTGTGACGCTTTCCGATCCAATTTGCGTGACAATCCCAGCGTAGTCGCATCCGACTATCTTCACGTCTGTTTGCCATCCTGACGCTTTCCCTAGTAAAAGCTTGGCTATTAATTCTTTCATATAGGCCTATAATACACTGACAGTCTGCAGGATTCTGCGCAGCTGCGACGACTTTGACTAGAATGTCTGTTGGGCTGAGTTTAGGGGCATCAACTTGGCGAAGTTCGACTGTGCCATCTGCTTTTCCGGTAGTACAGATGGCAAACATTATCTTGTCTAGCTCGAAGAATCGCTGATTCTAGGCAATGGAGTTAGAGATGGTCAGTATGAAATAGGTATGGGAAAAGACAAGGTTTATAGACTGAGGGAATTGCATCAATCAGCGTAGTGAGGACTACCATCAGACCTGAACTCCAAGCTTATTTGAAACCGGGAATATCAATACGGTAGACAATATTGTGAGATTGTACCCAGCATCAGGAAATACTTGCTAGACTCCATCTGGGACCGAAGTATTACGAAGCACTCAAGTAAAACTCTCGTACTTAGCCTTAGACCTATATCACCATATTCCATAATATTAATAAAAATATCGGCTTTCTTTGTGTTTCGATACTCCGAAGCATGTCCCACGTGCCCTCCAAAGCTAACAGCCCAAAATGACGGCAATCGATCGAGTCTATGACCCTCTATGTCAGTATCCTTCTAGCCTCATACCTCTGCGGCACCGAGTTTTGGACCGATTTGTATGGTCAGAGACTCGTCTCTCCCGTTTATGGACTCCCCCAATCGATTGGAATCATCCGCTTTGTGCTCCGATTCCGACTTTGCAGGTTATAAGGACACTTTCCCCATCCCTACTCTCCAAATCATATCTCCACCATTCCACTACGGATTTCCGTGTTCCAAAGTATAGTTACAAGCTATCAAGCCGTACGATTGCAAAGAGCCCACAAAGACTTACGAAGACCGAGGTCTCTAGGTTACTATAGCTCACGTTATCCTCCTACCACTTCACTGCGAGTTCTAGCTCATTTTTCATGGTCTCGGAGTTGTTCTTATCATTTATTCCCCCAGTTCAATGGCACTATTAGTTTATCCCTGCGATCCCGCATTTTCAAGTATCACTATCTCCCAGACTCCCACCCCTTCTGCTGGGACGATTTCTGAGTGAATCTGGAGTCGTTACCAACGTCTACGGCTCTCCAAATCGATTAGTGGCATTTCGTGACGCTCCAATGGCCCCTATCAATACTAATTTCAAACCCTAACCAACATGGCATATACTCTTTTGAAGATGTTATGATACTACAAGGTTCTGCCTTAGATCTCATGCCGATGTCTTATCGATGTTTTTCTAATTTTTACATTCAGTAAAGCTGATCTTCACAGTGTGCAATTCGGCAGCATCTTCATTTGCTTTACTTCTCCTATCATGACCCTTTCCGAATGTCATGTATCAGACTGTATGATTCCAACATGAATGCACCTGGCATGTGTCTTCCATGTTCTAGGTTGAAGGTCCAATTCAACGATGAAAGCGCACGGCGTCAGCAATCTGTCATAAGTTTCCATCATGAAAATAACTTCTGCATTCTTTCAACTGTGCATTGACAGCTAGCAGACCGGTGGAACTAAGAACGATTCCCCCCAAAAGAGTTCGTAACGTCCTTAAACTTCGTAACGTCCTTAAACCCACGCAGCAAAACTCACTAACTGTCTTGATGACTTGGGGTTATTATCCACTATTTATTAGGCGAACAGGAATACTTAAGCACCAGGTATCCTACAGAGATTCGTACAAGAATGTGATTCAACTTTATCAAAATAAACGAGAATTAAAGGCATTGACTATAGTATGGGTTAGAGACGGTGCAGACCGAGCCAGAAGCGCATGTTGTGGGACCAGTGTATCCGATACCACCGCTAAAGATCAATAGCATAAGTGAAAAAATATTCAGGACAAGTGACTGACTTCCTCACCATTGGCCATATTTCGGGACACTGCCACTACTACCTGAACTGCTGCCTCCTCCAGAAGTGGACCCGCCACCGCTAGAAGTAGATCCGCCACCGCCACTAGCGGTACCGCTGGTGCACTATTGCAATCGTGAGCATTCAAATACGAAGGAGAAAATAAAGGATAAATGGTACAGAGGGATCATCAAAAAAATAAATTCAAACATACCGTCTTCGACGTCAAAAGTGCAAGCTTCCACGGCAGCGAATTATAGTCACCGCTCGAGCCAACCGGCAAGCCCTGGTACAA